CAGCAGCGCTAAGGATGTCCGACTGCAGCTTAGGCCTGCTCCCCGCTGGCAAGTGGACATCCCCCAAGGGCTCCCGGGCTGCCAGAGGGATGTCTGTCTGCCAGTTTAGGCCCAATCCCCCAGGGAGCGGGCTTAAGCCACAGCAGGTGGATCCCCCGAGGGGTCCCAGACTGTGAGAGGGCACAGGCCGGGCTGAGGGACTCTCCCAAGTGCACAAATTTTTGTGCACCAGGCCTCTAGTTGTTCCAATAACTGAGGATTATAATAGTGAACAAGACATATGTACTGTCTGCCTATAATAGTTTATAATCATGTGGAGGATACAAATAGGTAAACAGACCATTAAAATGTTATGTGATATAAGGGAACATTTGAGATCTTGCTCCCTGGCATATGTTGTCAGTTTGGCTCAAATAAACTCCTATAAAAATAATAGCCCTAACCAGTTTGGCTCGGTGGATAGAGCATTGGCCTGCGGACTCAGGGGTCCTGGGTTCGATTCTGGTCAAGGGCATGTACCTTGGTTGTGGGCACATCCCCAGTGGGGGGTGTGCAGGAGGCAGCTGATTGATGTTTCTCTCTCATCGATGTTTCTAACTCTCTATCCCTCTCCCTTCCTCTCTGTAAAAAATCAATAAAATATATATATATTAAAAATAATAATAATAATGTTAAGTATAAGTGCTAGAATATTCCCCTATAGGTCTTTGCTCAGCCTATTAGAGCTACAAAAACTAAGTATACTCTCTCTTAAAAGAGCAATGAAAATTTCAACCCCTGTTCATTCCTCTCCTTTTTTTTTCTTCTCTCTTCTAGCCTAAGCAATTTATGTTTTTCTTTACATGACCTGAGTTTTTGGTCTTTAAAAAAAATTTTTTTTTATTATTTTGGTCACAAATCTTGGGATATCATATTGTACTATTGCAGTGGTTCTCAATCTTCCTAATGCCGCGACCCTTTAATACCACCTCATGTTGTGGTGAACCCCAACCATAAAATTCTTTTCGTTGCTACTTCATAACTGTAATTTTGCTATTGTTATGAATCGTAATGTAAATATCTGATATGCAGGATGTATTTTCATTGTTACAAATTGAACATAATTAAAGCATAATGATTAATCACAAAAACAATATGTAATTATATATGTGTTTTCCGATGGTCTTAGGCGACTCCTGTGAAAGTGTTGATTGACCCCCAAAGGGGTCGCGACCCACAGGTTGAGAACCCCTGTACTATTGGGACCATTTTTTAAAAAGTGACACTTTGTGTTATGCAGTCTCTAAGATGTCTCCTAATGATCTTTGCCTCATGGTATTCATGCCCCTCTCCTTGAGTGTAGGCTGGAGCTAAAATGCAGCAAGAATTGAATATTACTTCTGAGATTAAATTATTAAAAAACTGGGGCTTCCATCTTGCTTGTCCTCTCCTGCTCTCTTGCTTCCCTGTTCTGATGGAAGCCAGCTGCCATGTTGTGAGCTGCTTTGAGGAGAAGCCCAGGTGGTAAGGAACTGAGGGGAGGCCATGTCAACAGTCAGTAAGGAATTGAAGCCCTCGGTTTAGCAGCCTATGAGGAATGTCAGCAGCTGTGTGAGAGGGCTTAAAATCAGCTCCTTCTTTTATCAGGCTTTCAGATGAGAGCACAGCCCACACTTTGATTCCATTCTGTGAGAGACCTTTCAGCAGAGGCACCAAGACTTCTGATCCACAGAAATTCTCCTGAAATGACAAATATTTACTGTTTTAAGCCACTAAGTTTTGAGGTATAATTTGTTGCACAGTAGATAACTAATACACACATATAATGTGATAAGTATAAAATCATATTTTCTTCCTCTCCTGGGCATTGTTCTTCTAATATCAAGGGTGGCAGCCACTTTACACTGTGAGCTCATGTGGAGCAGTCAAGTCATCCCCTCAACAGTTCTCACTTGAGTTGTTATCAGACTGCATCTCCTGTACTTTTTGAAGCTGTTTCCTGTGGGGATTTTGTTGTTTTTTGTTTGTTTTTAGCTTAAATGTTTGACTTCACATTCTGTTATTCATCTCATTTTATTTAGTCCATCATCTTAGCTTACCAAGATATTTTGAAATCCTGGTTGTCATTTAACTCTCACTTAGTTTTGTATTTTTCTAAACATATAATCATAAAATATATCATCCCTAAGTCTTTGTTAAAAATAGTGATTGGCCGCAAAGATCCACAAATGATGAGTATATCACTAAAAACCACTCTTCATATGCCATTATTCTTTGGATCTCGTATATCCAACTTGTTTTATATACATCTAACTATATCAAAAGATAGCTTATTTATTTCCATTTTGTTTACAAGGGGTTATAAAAAAAATTGACAACTAGATCACTGAAGAGACCCTTTCACCACAAACACCTAGAGAAATGGTAAAATGACACTTTTTGTTGCATTTTTTTTTCTTTTGGTTAATCCTCACCCAAGGGTATTTTTTTCCATTGATTTTTAGACAGAGTAGAAGGGAGGGAGACACAGAGATAAACATAGGTATTAGAGAAACACATCCATTGATTGCCTCCCGCACATGCCCCCGACAGGGCCTGGGGATCAAGCCTGCAACCAAGGTACATGCCCTTGATCGGAATTGAACCTGGGACCCTTAAGTCAGAGGGCCAACACTCCAACCACTGAGGCAAACTGGCTAGGGCTTGTTGCTCTTTTTAGTGCACTGCTCATGAGATAAACAAAAGGAAGATTTCCATGTTCCAGAAGCACAGAGAAAACACAAAGCTTAGAGTGATATACGTATGACCTGACATTGCAGATGTCCTGGGGAGATGAAAAGAGCCCCAAATAGCTTGAAGCTTTTGTATGAATGTTCAGTGAGGGACAAGAGATGAGGCCTAGGGCCTGAGTGAGATAGAAAATTGTAACTGAGATTTTCCCATAAAGCTGAAATCCATAAAAGGAAATAACCCCATGAAATTGAAGGGAAATTTATTCCTCATCTCAAATCTGGATAGAGGGGGAAAGTCTCCCATGAAAAATCAAAATTTCAACTTTTAAGGTAAAAAACTTCTGATCTTAAAAGTTCTTATAAGAAAAAAAAGTGTAATTA